TTATTTCCACGAGTACAAAGCGGAGTGAGATCAGGTTACACAATCTAATAAAGTAAATAAATAAAAAAAAATCTCAATATCAATCATATTCTCATTACGTTCAAGTCACATAAATACGAAGTGAAAGTGATAGACGTTTTTTTGTTTTTACGACAAAGCCGTAAAAAAAAAAAAAAAAAAAAAAAAAAAAAAAAAAAAAAAAAAAAAAAAAAACTTTCACATGTCAAGGGTGTGTTGAAAATGCTAATCTCACGCCGCGCATTAATCGACTGAAATTGCAAAATTGATTGCAAGGAAGGTGTCTCCTTTTGCAACATTCTTGGATTCCTTTCAAGTATATTATCTTCTATCTGTTTTAAGTATCTGTTATTACTTACATATCGTTCAGTCTGTGATGTGGGTGTTAAGAACTTTCAAAAATTCGGATTAAGTACCATCAACGCTTCATTCATGTAATGTGTGTGGTTACCCAGACGAAGGAAAAAAATATCGGCTATTTTTTTTTATGGATTTTTGGCCCTTAAGAAAAAAAAAATCGATGACGTAAGTAGCTTTTTTATGGGCTGGGAAGTTAATGACATCCCTGTGATTCAATTCTACTGCTAAGTATCCGGGATAAAAAAATATGGATTGATTTTGTCAGGTTTAGGTGAAGGATCTTTTTTTCGGTTCTGATAATATACTTTATCTCCGTGATATTAGTTCCTTTGTTTATTTATTTTTGGTTTTCTTCTTGTTTGTTATTTAGTACGAGCGTACGTGACATATTTTATGATCGTTGTCTATCTTTATCAGCGTGTGGGCGTAGCCTGAGTAGAAAAAGTTGCCTCTTCATTCGAGTCTTCAATATGAGTAAGATGGAGAAGATAGTGGTTCTGCTTCTCTTTCTCTTTCTCTCTCTCGGGTCTTCCTCTCTCTCATTTCTCTCGTGTGTATCTTCTCTTTCTCGCTTGTTTTTTGCTCTTCTCTTTCCTTTTCTCTATCCTACTCCTCTCCTGTTCTCTCTCATGATCTTTTCTTTATCGTTCGTCTCTCTTCTTCTTTTCGTCTTCTCTGTCCTCCTCTTCATCCTCCTTCTTCGTCCCCTTCTGAACCCTACGTCGGCTTCCTCTCCGTCCTCATCCGTCCACTGCACCGCTGACTCACTATTACTCTCAATCTCTCCCTCGCCACTTCCTCTGGATGGGCAACTCTGTCCATTCATACATACTCCCCCACCATCCACCCTCAGGTTACTACTCATTCCTCGAGAATGCACTTCTCTCTTCCCAATCTCTCTTCTCCATACCTAGCTGCAGTCTTCTCAGTGGCTAGCCGCCCTCTTTCTCGCTTTTTCCTCATTTATTTCTCTCGGACTTATCACACGACCGGTATCCTCTATATGATCAGCTTTTTTTGGTCCTCCGTGAACCCATTCGTGAATCTCGCTTGTTAAGGTCTCTTACTGGTTGTTCTCACCACTAAAGAACTACTCCACTCGACACACCACTCTCGGTCTTTCCTTTTGCCTCGTCTTCTTGCCAAGTGGAATAGATTCTTTGTGATTCCCCCCACAGTCCCCTACTCTGAGAATACCCTTCTTCTAACAGTGCCTTCCGAAACAAGTAGGCAAAATTACCTTTCATAGTTTCCCCGATCATTCACACCTAGTCACTGTTAAATCAGAATCCCAAGCTCATGCACTAGCAACCCTAACAGATCTTACTGGCAAACCTATTCTTGCAGAACCTCACCTCTCTCTTAATACTTGAACAGGAACTGTTTCTATCCCCTTGACTGATTGTCCCAAATATGACAAGAACTGGTTAGACTGTGAAAATAACCTACTTACCTGCCTTCCTTATTATGATGCAGTGCTACACTATTCCTCCCAGAGGGCAGCCTAAGTCCAAAGTCAATATTGCCAAGATTAGCTTCCATAGCATGACTTCCCCCATGAAGTTTATATTGGTGGATTCTCATACCATGTCCGACTATATTGACCTCTTCCCCATCAATGTTAAAAATATTGGCGTTTTGGCTACCTAGCCAAACACTCGCTCCACAGCGTGCTGCTCTCTCTCTGCCCAACCTGGTCATGACCATTCAATTTTGCCTGCCCAGTCAGGTACATGTGCCAACTGTAGTGACTCCCAAAACATATTTTATAGAGGCTGCCCTGCCTATAAATCAAGTCCCTTCCATTCTAAATCCAGATACTCCAATCTTAACCACTTCATCCATTACCTACCCTTCCTCCCCCTCACTTTCTGTTGTACCAGACAGCCTAAATGTTCTACTCCATCTTTGCCATCCACACCCTCCTTTTCCTCTGCTCCTCAAATATCTATATCTTCTTCACCTCCTCACAAGAGATCCTTTGCTTCTCAGACCTCCCCTACCAAGAAAATGTTCAGCTCCCTCATCCACCCTCCAATTCCTCTATTTGCCGACATCCATCCTCCTCCCATGAAGGTTCCCCCAACCTCTCTTTCCCAACAAACCCCATCCTCTCCTCCTCCAAGTACACCACTCCTTTTTTGTTCTCCTTTATCCTTACCTCTCCCACCTGGATACTCACATGAATCCCTTCTGTTGGAATAGTGTCCTCTGGATTCCTCCCTTCCTGATGCTCTTCCTTATACTTCACCTCCTTCACACTCTTTACATTAATCGTTAACTCACATATCCTCTTCACCACAATACTCTTCCCCAGACTCTTCTGCTACTTCTCCAACAGCCATCTCTACTCATATTACCCGTTGATTATTTCATAACAGCTCCTTTACTAGTTTTTTGTTAAAGCAATGTTACTATAGCTTCCCAACAACAGTTACACCCATTACATCTGATCACCTTATACCCTTATCCCATTCCTTTATTAATGTACTATTTACATCTTTACCCTCTTCCCTATCATACTATCCTGTAACATAACCGTTGATATTTAACACTTCCTTCACACTCTTTACATTAATCGTTAACTCACATATCCTCTTCACCACAATACTCTACCACAGTGTTATATGACCTTAAATATCTAGCATATTTGTTTCAACCATTAACCATTACAAATAGATAAATTCACAGACGCCTTTGTCAGCAAGGAGTCACTAGACCGTCTTGATGTCACCGGTTTACCTCCTTTAAATTTTTGGGCTTTATTTCTAATACTGGTATTCTAATGAACATTTTATTATTTATTATCTTCATTATTATCATTTTTGATGTTAACATGACTAACAGTAATAAAGATAACATTTTTTATAAAGCAAAAAGATAAACACTTCAGCCATACACAAGAGAAAAGTGTTACAAGTCTTTTGATGCTAGCTTAATGTGTGTAACCTTAAGTACATATATAGTTGAAGATATATAGAAATAAAATATGATTTGTTTGTATATGTTTATTTTACATTTATTATAGATATAACAAAAATGGCATAAGGAACGAAACGACTGATCCTGTACTGTGGAAGCGGAACAGAGTAGCCATAAATGCACATAGAATAATAAGAATTATTCATTTGCAATCTCTCTCTCTCTCTCTCTCTCTCTCTCTCTCCTCTCTCTCTCTCTCTCTCTCTCTCTCTCTCTCTCTCTCTCTCTCTCTCTCTCTCTCTCTCTCATCTCCTCCTCATCCCTTCTCTCCCTCCTCCTCTCTCCTCCCTCTCCCTCTCCTCGGACTTCTGGTTTTTTCCTCTCCCTCTCTCCCCTCCTCCCTCCTCTCTCTTCCTCTCTCTCTCTTTCTCTCCT